GAAGCTGATGGGACCCTAGGAAACGGTAAAGGACAAGCCCTGGAGCCTGCTATAGGCTGTCCAACTTTGGAGGGTAAAGTGTTCGATCAAGCTGGAGTGCCGTTTATATAAAAGTCCATGTACAGAAATAGCATTGTAACCAATTTAAAGTCTCTCTAATGAGCAGAACGAATGCATCGCATGAAAGTTTCATGTCAGTTATGGTGGGTACCAGGACCAGGACTGACATGATTTCGACCCGTCTCTGACGGTGTCGGGTATCGCCGATAAAATCGGTGCGTGAACCCTATTTAAGGCATGAACGAGACAACGGACCGGGCGCCGACTACGCTCAAACCCGATCAAACCCCCCGCGAGCGTAAGAGCTTTAGATCTCAAAACTCGGGTCTTGCCCGAGTAACGTTAGAGTTTTCGGAATACTGTACCGAATGCACGCAAATATATGAAAGGCCGAGTCTGTCCGTAACATATTTCGTCATCATGCCGAAAAAATCTTTAAACTTGACGCAGGCTTTTTCCTACGGTTGGCTTTCATTTTCATATGACGAGCACTCTGGTATACGTAAACTAAACTATTTCCCTATTTTTCTTTATATCTTCTTCCTTGTTATTTAATTGGGGATTGCTATGCCAAGGGCCTGGGTTTTACTGTAAATGTCGATATCGGGTGCCCAGAACCCAGTAGCTAGGCGACTAAAACCCCGGCAACTTAGGTCATCTACCTGGGCACCTTCTGGCGTCCCATGTTACTGTATTCTGTAATGCCTGGTATGAACAGTACAGAGTAACATGAGACGCCAGAAGGTGCCCTGCAGGCAGCTGGACTTAAGTTTCCAGGAATTGGGTTGAGGCAGATTTAGTCGCCTATCTGCTGGGTACCCGGGGTTTACAGTGTTGACACGCAACAAAGCGTCACCATACCTGGAGCTGATAGTACTGATAGTACTGCAGAATTGCAGAATCCTAAATAAACTCGTGTAATCCCATGTAATCTCGTGTAGCCCCATGTAATTTCACGTATAATCCCATGTAATCTTGCGTGATCCCGTGTAATCTTATGTAGTCTTGCGAAATCCTGTGCAATCTCGTGTAGTCCCATGTAATCTCGCGTAATCCTATGTAATCTCGCGTAATCCCATGTAATCTCGCGTAATCCCATGTAATCTCGCGTAATCCCATGTAATCTCGTGAAATCCAACGTAGTTTCATGTAATCACGTGTAATCTCTCGTAGTCCACTGTAATCCAAGTAATCCCGTAATCATGTGTACGCTCAAAACTTGAGTGGTGCCCCCCTCGGGCCAGGCCCATGCGAGGCCCATGGGCCTCCAGGCCCATAAGTCTGTCTGACTGCGCTTGTCCGCTCGCCGCTCGCCGCTCGCCGCCGCCGGCCCCAGTCCAAAAAACCCATGGACCCCATGTGATCCCATGACGTTAATCCCATGAGAAGCTGCCCCTCTCCCATGGTTTTTCCTACTTTTCCCATGATGTTTAGAGTCCCATGTAATTCTGGCCATGGGAAACTTGCCCCATGGTAAAGGGAAGATGTTTCCCATGTGCCCTTCACATGGGACGAACATTTTACGTGGGACTCGACCCCATGCGAGGAATTTCTTTCATGGGGGAAATTCCCATGACCCAACGACCATGCTCTAAAATCGGTGTTTGATAGAATTTTCATCTTATATTTGGTTTGTGGCTTATACAACGTATTTTAATAGGGCCATTTCTTTTTCAATCGAATCGGGGCAAAAACGTTTGGCAATTCAAAAACGGCTTGAGTTAGATAAAATTGGACATCAGATTTGGATCCGCCTCCATTCAGGTACCCTAATTACACGTCCTGTTCACTACGCTCAGACTTGCTGTTGTCTTGGAACTTGGTGATATGTAAGTACTCCCCATAGGGCAATTGTTTCTTCGTGGGACAGTGCCTTACGGGGTGGCGTCCCTAGGGATAGGAGCCACTCATGGGAAAGCGGCCAAAAATCAATGTGAAATGGCATCACATGGATCACTGCATCCCATGCCTTCCCATGACGCCCCATGGATCATGGGACGGTTCATGGGTTTTTTGGACTGGGGCGTGCGAGTGAGACCACCGCATGCGCAGTTGTGCAAGTGCGAGAGAGACAGCTCGGGGTTCTCGTCCGCTAAACCTCGAGCGCTCTAGCGCCGGCCTGCTGCCCGTTAGGCAACTTATTTGCCACTCAGTTCGGTAAACGTTCGGCAAGGTTCGGCTGCCGTGGCTAGGCGGTGGCGTGGTGCGGTGCATCGCTACCCACCGCCACGCCCCGGAGCCAGGCCCATTGAGGCCTGTCTCATTCCCTGCTCTGGACACGGCAGAGCTAGAGTCCTATAGACTAGAGACTCTAGGCAGAGCTTGAGAGGACAGATCTCGGTGTCCGATGAACTGTTTGCCAACACAAGACAATACAAGACGCACATGAAGTGTACGAAATTGTTCATATCAGTGTTCGACATTGTTACATTACATATCAAAAGAAATTCCGAACGCATTTGAGGGCTATCCGTGTAACAATTACGGTTAAATCACGTACTATTTTTATGTTAATTTTGTGCGTGTCATGTTGGTTTCTTGTGTTGCATGAGGCGCGAGGCCAGTACAAAATGGCGCCTATTTTTAAATGAGCTAGATCATTGAACATTGTAGCTTTGTCAGCTTAATGATTCATTTTAAATGTTGTGCTTTTTTTCAATTCATAAACATTTTCATCTTTCAAAATTATGAAAATTTTTTAATTGAGTTCGGCATTTAACGAAGCATGTCCGCTCTGTGCCAATTATGCTGGTTCTGTGGCTAAACTGTGGCTTTTCTATAAGTGAAGTGTTATGTTTAAAATTAACATTTCTTAACATCATTCCACGAATCATGTGTGGTGTTTGCCATCTGTATTGTTTTTGTAACCAAGATATTTTTATTGATATTTTTGACATTTTATGTTTTTTCTGGAATCATGTTTGCTTCACTATAAATATTGTTTGAATATTTTCAGTCTCATTTACTATTCTGCCTTGTGAAGCTTGATTTATTTCTGGTCACTGTTTTTTGACTAAGTGTGATACAGTAATTAGTTTTTGATGTTGAGGTATTTAAAATGTTCCTATCTTATACCCGGGACTTGTGGGTCATGATTGTAGTTAAAACTTTCCTGAAGACTGACTGCCTAGCCAAATATATAGACCGCTATATTCAAATTGATCCAGTTGCTCAAACTTCATTAGAATATTTGTTGTTACCTAGATATTTGAAATATTTTTTCTATGAGTACAAATGTAAGTTTGTTCCGAAGTAACTTCATGATTCTTTCTTCCTTTTTTATTTATTCATGAAAATAACATTTGGCTAACTGAAGAAAGTAATGATAATGCAAAAAGAACTCGACAAGAGGAAAATTTACACGTAAGTTCTTTGTTTGCAACCACACACCTCACCGCAATCTGAAAATCAATCTATGACACAATGACTGCTAAGTTCACGTGCATTTTCATGACTTTGGTTCATTAAACATTCTGCTTTGCCTTGAGTAACAGTTCATTAGCTTGGATTAAATTGTTAATTTTCATAATTTTGAAAGATGAAAATGTTCATTAATTGAAACAAGGGACAAAGTAAACACAAAATTAATTTTGTGCTAAATATGGTACTCGTTCTGTACAGAGACAGAGACCGTTTTAGTGTCGAGTTGCCATTCACATCTTCTTGGTGATAGAAAGAACGAGTATTGTTCTCAGTGCAGTCTAATCCCTAAACATGTTCCCAATTTCATCTCAGAACACAGAATACCTACTGACATGAAAGTTACAATATTATTCTAAACTGGAAATGCTGGGCTCAATTTTGACCCAGCTTAGTGGACACTGAAAAATGTAGAGTAACAACATATAAATGCATGATTTTAGTGTTTATGAAACGCAGATTTTTTGCTAAGAATATTATACTACAGATTTATATTCACTTTCTTAACATACTTCAGAGAACATTTAATAATTTTTTTTAGTTTTCCTTAGTTAAATTTAATTGGCTCAGCCGACTACAGACTCACTGACTCATGGCAAGACGATTCAAGAACCTAAATCACAAAATTTTCCGAAATTGGCGAAGCCTCCGGACTTCCCGAGTCCTTCCTAGTAATTTCTGTGATTGTGTATATATTAATGACGGATGTGTTCTGAGTGTGAATGAGAAAATAAATAAGCAATAGACAATCTTGTTTATTTTGACTTCTGTTCCTTTCACATCCCCACAAGCACTTGCTACTTAAAAACCTGACATACATCAACCTAGCTACAGTACAGACAGTCAATACAAGTTTTGTTTTAACGGGTAAGTTAACCTGTTTGGTTTACAGGACATTAACTCTTAATATAATTAAAAAAAGAAAATAACTGGGATATACATAGCTATAATAGACAACAATATCATGCGTACCACATACTTAGATATACTGTACAATATACAGTGTTTTTGTGGTAAATCTAACATACAGAAAAATAATACAGTAATAATAAAAATAATGAAATGAAGAAAATATGGATACACAGGACTAGACATGCTGGAGGACACAAGAAAACATAGCACTCAATAAAACCAGCTACCTTTTCAACTAAATTTCATTACAAAATAAAAATAATTATGGAATCATAAATAATCACAATGTGTACTTTCAGGAAGACTTTCAATACAATCTATGAAGGCCTATGGGTCAGTGTTTCCAAGACTTCCTTCAGCTTCTGGGTTTAACAGATTTTTGCAATGAAAAGCAATGCCCCGTCAGTGGACAAACATTTGCAAGGCGGCCACATTCCACATGGGTAATAACATCATTGGGATACCGAGCAAATTTCAAATCAGTGAAAGGCTTTTTACAAACGCAGCAGTAACTGTAACAGAAACAACAGATTTTCA